AACTGCCCGGTGGCGAGCTCCCTGGTGGAGAGCTACTTGGTGACGAACTGCCAGGTGGCGAACTGCCTGGTGGTGAGCTGCCTGGTGGCGAGCTCCCTGGTGGAGCTACTTGGTGACGAACTGCCGGGTGGCGAACTGCCTGGTGGCGAACTGCCTGGGGGCGAGTTGCCTGGTGGCGAACTCCCTGGTGGCGAACTGCCTGGGGGCGAACTGCCTGGTGGCGAATTGCCTGGGGGCGAACTGCCTGGTGGTGAACTGCCTGGTGGCGAACTGCCTGGTGGCGAACTGCCAGGTGGTGAACTCCCTGGTGGCGAACTGCCTGATGGCGAACTGCTTGATGGCGAACTGCCTGGTGGCGAGCTCCCTGGTGGCGAGCTACTTGGTGACGAACTGCCGGGTGGCGATCTGCCTGGAGGTGCTCCCTGGTGGCGAACTGCCTGGGGGCGAGTTGCTTGGTGGCGAACTCCCTGGTGGCGAACTGCTTGGGGGCGAACTGCCTGATGGCGAACTGCTTAATGGCGAACTGCCTGGTGGCGAGCTGCCTGATGGCGAACTGCCTGGTGGTGAGCTGCTTGGTGGCAAACTGCCTGGTGGTGAACTCCCTGGTGGCGAACTGCCTGGTGGACTCGTCGCTTGACTTGCTCCTAGGCGGCCTGCAACTTAGAGGATGGTGGAGCTCCTTGGTGCAGCGCAACCCGACTACCCTCCGTGTGAGGTGATTTTCTCTCCTTTGTAGGCGGCGGGAGATGAGGGACCTGCGAGAACTGAATCAGAGGACCCGAGGGTATCTTCCCGGCGAGGACTCTCCGTTGCCTAAGTTAGCAGTCTGATTACAGAGGGCTTGGAGAGAAATGAGAGAGCCAGAGAGCGGGGGTTACCCTCCTTTTTCCTCCCCCTTGGCTTTGGGGGTCAGAGTCCTTATATAGTGGTGCCCTCGCGGGTTAGGTGGGTGAAAAGCCTTCAAACGGTAAGACGTCATATCCCATCAGAACCGGGGTACGGTGATGAACTCCTCGAGGTTTTCAGGCTGGC